GAGTGAGTTTTTATGGTCACCTTCCATGACTGTCACTAAACTAGGCACATACACAATGCTCAGTATATTGTTTTTCATCAGTTACTTTCCAATCCCAGGGAGCAAGGATTTGCATAGCTCCTGTGAAATGGTCAAGTCTGATGCCTACATGTACCCACTGAGAGCGGATCATGTCTAAAGAAACTTAAAATTCCTGCTTTATGTGGGCTGCTGGTCTTGCCCTGCCTTCTTCTCTGAGCTGGCCACATAGGTCTGGGAGCTTCACAAATTATTAAAATTTAAATAATCATCCTTGGGGTGCCTTTGCTATGTAGGGCTAAACACCATCACTCTTGTTGAAATTGAAGTAAGTGGTCTTTATCCAAGATCTTCAAAGAGCTTTGCTAATGAACAGATCGTATCGTCTTGTCTGAAGATGAGAGAAACAAAGCCCGCAGTCAGGCCCCACAGGACAAAGGAAGCAACATAAGTATTAGTCTCAGACTTACAGAATCCCAGCCCTTCCTTGTCTTTTCACTTGATGATTGTAGGTTTAGTGTGTGTGTTCCTATGACAGGGGGAGGAAGGAAAGAAGGACAGAGAGGGACTTTTCGTTTTCAGTTCTAGAGACAGATTTCACTCTGGCTCACCATCTTGGTGGTCCTCGTGACCTCTAAGAGAGAGACTCCCCGGGGTCACGATACGAGCCAGAAGCAGAAGGAATCACTGTGCCACAGAGTCAGAGCACGGTGGCCCAGCATGAATGGCCCATATGCCAGCGGGTCATTAGCCAAACAGGAGGGAACTTGACTGATGAAAAACTGGCAAAGGGCTAAGGAAGATGGTTGTGCAAGACCACGTCAGTCCCTTCCTGCACCCCAGCCCCTGTTTGCCTGGGGCGTCATCATGCAGCCATTACGAGTTGTGCAATGAGCCCGGGTGCTTACACAGGCACAGGGAGGCCGGATGTGGCATCGGGACCCCTTGGGTGATAGACACACACATGGAGACATATTTGCATAATGTTCTCTCCTCGTTAGAAAAATACGTCTTACTAAAGATTCCCGTGAATGCCGAACAACGCTGAAGCACAGAGGCAACGTTGTGGGGGTCAGATTGTAAGCACCAGTGAGCCCCGATAAATCCTATAGACAGGATATTTGCAGGTGTCTCAGGGTTTCTAAATCACCCCCCATTTCCTCACCAAACTCAGTAAAATAATTGGAAAAGAAGTCATTAGCCCCCTTCTACGGACGAAAACGAAACGGGAGGAGATCCAGTGATTTCTTCAGTGTCCCGGAGCTGATGGGGGTGGGGGGTTGGAACTAGAACCTGGAACTTTCTAGTGAGAGTAGAAGTGATCTTAAGGAGGGTGGCAAGAACCAAACTCCTCAGTCATTTTGTGGTGAGGAGAGAGGTGGTAGTGGTGGGCGAGCCCTGCAGATTGTTCTGGATGGACCCGGCAATGGGTCGTCCTCCCTGAAATCTTATCAGCCTACCATATGGTTGTTAGTCACGTTTTCTGTTATATTGAGCGTATTAATCTCACGCGAAAGCTGGAATTTCTGTCATTGCCGACGACGGAGGAATGCTTTTCGTTAAGACCCGGGGTTGTGTAAAGACCCCCACCAAGTCCCTTGGAGCACGGGGGTCGTGAAGAGGTCCTCCAGTTCTCAGCACTTTTGGAGAACCTCACACCTGCCGCCCGAGGTTCTCGTGGGGCTATTTACTTGGAACTCTTGGAGACCCACAGATGGAAATCTTTCTGAGAATATTGTTAACCGTGACGCGGCTGATACATGACCCCGGGCCTCTTCCTTGAGCTCCTGAGTCACCTGGGATAAAACAACGCGGAGTGGGAGGAAGCGGGCCATCCTCCCCAACCCTGCTCTGAGCACACACGCGCACACCTGTGGGCGGTCACGTTTCTCGGGGCATTCTTCAAAAGATCGGAGAAAGCCGAACACGTTATTCAGTAGTAGGTGAAGCAGGTGCCCTCCTCCTTTCCCCGTCGTCCTCTTCTAGGGAAAACCCTGCACCCCAGGAGAGTGTGTGGTTTTCTCCTGCCCTCTCTGTGGTCTCATTCAGTTTATTTTCTCTGCCTGAGCGGAAAGATCGCACCTCTGGAGTGCCAAAGAAAGACCTTCCTCTGCCTTCTCTACCCTTCTTCCCCCTACAGGTACATTTTCATTTAGCGGATGAGTCACATCATGAACTAAAAGCTTGTGTTCACACTTAAAAGGGCTGTTCCTGATGGCTGGTTTTGAGTCGCACGCTAGATAAGCCTCTCCTCGAATGTTAACGATTAGCCCACCATCGACCATTAGCTACAACATGGGTGTAAATGTTTGACAGGAGAGCACACAGACCGTGCGGGGGCCAGCGCCCGTGAGCGTGCAGGAAGTCAGTCGGTGGGAATGGAAAGGAACGTAGCGCATGTGGAAGCGGTCCGCCGTGGAAACCCTGGACAGTGTTTCTGTTAAATCATTTGTACATTGTTAAATGATTTACATTCTGATGGGATCTGGTAATCCCAGAACGGCAATTCCACACATTCCTCTGTATCCCGACCCTGACAGTCTATATCAATTACAGCGGCCGTAAAGCTCTCTCAGCTGGTTAAGCATAAAGAATTATTGTGCCCGATCCTTCCATATGGTCTCCTTGGTTCTCTTAGCCCACACTTGTAAGGTCGTTCGGTGGCAAATATTATTATCCGTCTTTGAAATCACTAAGCCTTTTGAAAGAGCCCAAATGATATCCCTCCCTCGAAAGATACAGGCTTGCTCGAGCACATTGTTTTGAATTCCAGGGTCCAGTTGTGGACCACAAAAGAAACTCATTAGAAAATCCATGAATCAGAGTTCGGTTTATAATTCGAGCGAAAAATAACTCTAGTTTTGGCTAACTTCAGTGATAGATATGGTTCCAAGAATATGTTGGCTGACACTGAGTCCTTACTTTTTTTAGTTGAAATGTAATTGACACATAATATTGTATTAGTTTCACGTGTACCACATAATGGCCCAATATTTGTACATTACCGTCCGTCCACATAGACATTTATTTCCTTGTGTTGAGAAGTTCCAAGATCTGCTTCTCTTAGCAACCTTCAAATATACAGTAACTATACCTCTTAGCAACCTTCAAATCTACAATGACTATAGTCACAATGCTGTACATTATATCCTCAGGACTTATTTATAAACTGAAAGCTTTTACTTTTTGGCCCCTTTCACCTTCCCCCCCCTCCACCACCGGCAACGACCAGTCTGTTCTCTGTATCTACAAATTTGAATTTTCTTTCTTTCTTTTACATTCTGTGTATCAGCACTATCATTCAGTACTTGTCTTTGTCTGACTTACCTCACTTGGCATAATGCCCTCAAGATCTATCTATATTGTGACAAATGGCAAGATTTCATTCTTTTTTATGGCTGAGTAATACTCCATTACACACACACACACACACACACACACACACACACAACACACCCCACACTTTTTTTTTCAAAAGTTTATTTAAATTCTAGTTAGTAAATAAATAAAATAAATTTCTAGTTAGTTAACATATAGTGTAACACCGGTTTCAAGGGCAGAACTTAGTGATTCATCACTTACGTACAATGCCCAGTGCTTATACAACGTTTTCTTTATCCATTCACCCATTGATGGACACAGGCTGTGTCCATGTTTACAACTGGCTGTTGCAGCGAACAAGGCATGCAGACATCTTTTTGAGTTGGTTTCATTTCCCTTGGACCCATCGCCAGAAGTGGAATTTCTGGATCACATGATCTGCGATAGTTCTATTTTTAAATTTTTGAGGAACCTTCATTCTGTTTTCCACAGTGGCTGTACCAGTTTATGCTCAGGGGGGGCCGCCCCCGGGGGGCGGGGGGTCGCGCTTCTCCACCGGCTCTCCAACACGTGCTATTTCTTGTCTTTTTAATGGTAGCCATTCTGACAAGCACCAGCTGATACCTCCTGAGTCCCTGTTGACTCAGGGGCACTCACGCACTCAGGGAGGTCCCTTGCCGGACAAGAGGTTGGGGGATTGTTTCTGGTCTCCTCACGGCCACTAAGGCCTTGTGACTTGGGGAGAGTCCCTTGACATTTCTGGATTTCTGTTCTCAGTGAAAGCAGAGGACTGGGCTTGGAGACGACGGATGTTTATTACCTTGACCATAGTGATGGGGTCATAACGTTTGCATATGTCCAACGTCATCAAATTGTGTGCATTAAATGTGCAATTTTTTCTGTGTATCAGTTACACCTCAAAAAGCTGTTTAGAAAATGGATATGAACTCTATGCATATTGAAAAATACATATATGAGATTTTTTTCAAAAACCAAGGACAGGTTTATACCCTTTTAAGACCATATCCTTAGATCACGAGTAAATATTTAGGGGAAGAAGTAATAGGAAAGAAGCGTTTTTAAACTTAGACTCTGTGGCAGTGCTGGCCAGTAGAACTTTCTACAAGGACAAAAGTGGTCCGTACCTGCTATGACCCCATGGTAGCCAGCCGCTGCATCGAACTGTTGAGTGCATAAAAGCAGTGAAGGCATTGTAATGAGAAACTGTATTTTTAATTTTTATTTAACTTTAATGTAAAGAGTCACAATCCCATTATGACTTTTTTCGTTTCCATAAAGCCTTACTCCTGGTCCCAAAGTCAAGTTCACCAAGAAATCACCATTGGTTATCAAGTAACCTTACGCCACTGATGAATCAGATTCACAGATTTGTAACATTTCCCTAATTTCTCATCAAGATTTAAAGCTTTGAGGTGACTGGGGAGATCCAGGACCACTGGGGTCCGCCTTTGGCTAAAAGCTGCGAATAGAATGTCGGGAATCATTTAGGGCCAAGTAATTTGGCACAGAGATATTCTCTGAGCGTTTGAGATTCTGGGAAACAGCTGAGAAAAAAGAGAGCGGGTCTTTTTTTAGGAGATGTCCTAAAGAAATCCTGTTAAAGGACCAAACTTACCTTTCTTTTTGGTTTGTCCCTCTAGGAGCTGATCGATGTTGACAGTGAAGTGGTGTTTGAATTAGCCTCCTATATTTTACAGGTGAGTTGTCCTGTCCTCATCTGGCTGTCCCAGAGCCATACGCGGTAGAGACGGGAGTAAGATTGAGCACACCCAGCAGGCTGCCATATTCACTACCTATTTGTCATCTTAATTATTTATGACACTAATAGGAAGGAGCTACACCATGGCAGTCAATAGAGGCTTCTGGCATTCCAGAATTTTAAGACAGGGTCTCTCTGCAAAGGAAAATTGTGTGTATCACTTGAGCCTGGGGGAAACAAGGATCGTTCAGTAACTCCCTTTTCTTCAGGGTTAGTGCCCTCCCCCACTCTGGAGAAAGCCCAGTAAATAGCAAGATGTAACTTCCAAGAGAATCATCGCACGTCCTATGGAAAGACAAGGAAAGGACAGGCCTTTCACTTATGGGCAAAAGAGGTACTAATGAAAATCGGCAGCAATGACAGTTTTAGTAACGCTGGCAAGATGAATTAGAAGGACGGCATTCATTTATTTCTTCCACAAAGATTTCTTCAACAACTGTTATATTCAAGATTCCTTGAAGGTTCCATGGCCCCTTCTTAGGATGACCAGGAAAGAGCCCACAATACAAAACAAGTAACATAAGACACTAAGCAGTTCTACCCGGACACATGTTCAGATCCGGAATCCTCAATCCAGAAAAAGGTAGACCAGGGTCCAGAGGTAGAAACCTGCATTTTGCTGTTATGAATCACTGTCTTTGTGTATAACTTGCTAAAGTTTAATTTTGTGTCTCATATTCATGTGGCAAATGCATGGTCCTTTCCCCATTGTCTTCCTATAGCAGATAGGACAGCAGCAGTAGTAAGCTGAGCTTACTCAGTAGAGGAGTGGTCATGACCGTGGAATGTATTTAAAAGTCTGGAACACTGTACTGGAATGTTTCATTGACGTTGAATTTTTTCTTCTACAGGAGGCAAAGGGAGATTTTTCTAGGTGAGTTTACAAAAGGATTTGTTTTCTTACTGTGCTCTGTTAATCTTTATTAAAAGAAACTATTCTTTCTATACTTTGTAGGAGGGCAGTGCTTTAATGTTAGATATTAACGAGGAGTGCCTGGATGGCTCAGTTGGTTGAGTGACTTCGGCTCAGGTCCTGATTTTGCGGTTCGTGAGTTCGAGCCTGGTGTCGGGCTCTGTGCTGACAGCTCGGAGCCTGGAGCCTGTTTCGGATTCTGTGTCTCCCTCTCTCTCTGCCCCTCCCCTGCTCACGCTCTGTCTCTCTCTCAAAAGTAAATAAATGTTAAACAAAATTATTTAAAAAATTAAAAATATATATATATATTGATGAGAGCCACCTCTCAACTTGTCAATTGAAACAGACGTATCGGGCAGAGGACACATAGTAACGGTAAGGAGTAAGGAGGATATTCTGTACTAAATGAAAAGCCTAGAGATCACTAAAGCAGAGATCAGCACCCACTGTCACACATGGCCACTAGTGAGGTTTGTCAGCTGGAACCTAGAGCCTGAAGTCACCACTCTGGTGTGAACAGGGCTTTAGATTATCCTACAATGTGGACATTTTTTTTCTCTCTCCGTTTTAGTCTCCTGCTCCTCCAAAGGACAAAATGCTATCCCATGGGGAGATTTCCTTCATGAAAGTATCTCGGTTCCCCACTTCTACTTTTCTTCCCTCTCTAGATATTCCATTGGAGAGAACGTAAACACTTAACCACCGGGGACACTATGCACTGGTTATTAACTTGTGGAACTGCCAGCTTCTCAGTGCCGTTCATTTCCTGAAGCTTTGCCCATTGACCAGCGTGGTTGAATCGCCTCTCATTTTCTCATGATCGTTAGTGGAGCCCTCAGAGTAGGGAGTTGTAGACATCCACCAACGGGACTGTCTGCTCAAAGACAGACATTATTCCAGGCATTCTGCTTTCTTGAACTCCCCGAGAGATGTCTGGGATAGCCCATATTTTAGAATCAAGGTCTAAATGTACAAGAAAACAGTGTCTGGGCATAGCATTCTGACTCATCAATAGGAAATACACAAAATTGGTATTAAAATTAAGAAACACTGGGGCGCCTGGGTGGCTCAGTCAGTTGAGCGTCCGACTTCGGCTCAGGTCATGATCTCACGGTTTGTGAGTTCGAGCTCCATGTCGGGCTCTATGCTGACAGCTCAGAGCCTGGAGCCTGCTTTGGATTCTGTATCTCCCTCTCTCTTTGCCCCTCCCCTGCTTGTCCTCTGTCTCTCTCTCTCTCTCTCTCTCTCTCTCTCTCTCTCTCTCTCTCTTTCAAAAATAAATAAACATTAAATTTTTTTTTTGTTGTTTTTAAATCTTTATCAGAAGATTCTAACATCCGGGGTGCCTGAGTGGCTCAGTTGGTTGAGTATCCATCCACCTTTGGCTCAGGTCATGATCTCACGGTTCGTGAGTTCGAGCCCCATGCTGGGCTCTGTGCTGACAGCTCGGAGCCTGGAGCCTGCTTCAGATTCTGTGTCTCCCTCTCTGTGCCCCTCCCCTGCTCCTTGTCTCTCTCTCTCTCTCTCTCTCTCTCTCTCTCAAATATAAACATTAAAAAAAATTTTTTTAAAGAAACACAAATCCTGACTCTACTCCATAATGGGACTTGTATGTTTTCTCATGCTTTGGCAGATTTGATCTAAACTACTTCAGTTGGTGGCTTACCTGTACTTGTCTAGATTTGTCAAGTTCATGCGGCCTGGTTTGTGAAGCCTTCGCTGTTTTCTCTTTGGTCTCCATGTGCATATCTAAAGCTTTCTAACAAAGCCTGAGGTGTATGTTCTCATTCCAGTATCTCAGCAAAAGCAAAAAACCTAGTTTATGATTTAAAACAAGGGTCAGTTTGGGGTGCCTGGGTGGCTCAGTCAGTTAAGCGTCTGACTTCAGCTCAGGTCATGATCTCGCGGTTCGTGGGTTCAAGCCCCGCGTCGGGCTCTGTGCTGGCAGCTCAGAGCCTGGAGCCTTCTTCGGATTCTGTGTCTCCCTCTCTCTCTGCCCCTCCCCTGTTTGTGCTTTGTCTCTCTCTGTTTCTCAAAAATAAGTAAATGTTAAAAAAAAAAAAAAAGGTGGGGGGGTAAGCCAACATTTTCTGTAAAGGGCCAGATGGTAAATAATCTTGGGTTTTGCAGGCCATAGAGTCTCTGCTGTAATTACTCAGCTCTCCCTTTGTAGGTGCAAAAGAAGCCACAGACAACAGGTAAATAAAGGAGTATAGCAGTGTTCCAATAAAACTTTATTTATAGACTTGGAAATTTGAATTTTGTATACATTTTCTTGTATCCTGAAATACTGTTCTTTTGAATTGTTTGTTTTCTAACCATTTAAAGAATATAAAAGCCATTCTTAGCTCATGGGCCATACAAAAACCAGCAGAGGGCTGGTGGGTTGCAGTGTGCTTACCCCTGATTCTAAAATTAGTCCCTTCAGCCCAGTTTGAATATTTGCATAAGGAGACCTCCAGGCCCCTTGTGTTTAGGCTTCCCAAGTTCTTGCTATAAAGCAGAGGTAGTCAATTTTTTTTTTTTTTTACTAAGGCTTTTTTACAGCCTTAGCAGGAGACCTTAAACATTATAGGTAGCCAGTAACCATTCAGTGAATTTGTTGAATGAAACATTTTGAGGATATAGAAACTGTGTTTGCTTTTTTTTGTTGTTGTTGTTGTTTTGGTTTTTTGGGTTTTTTTTTTTTTTTTTGCAGTTGTTACTTTTTTATGCCCTTCATTTGGTATTGGAATTTGGGGGTTTTGATAAATGCAGCTTTATATCTTACAAAGACTTCTGATCCCTTGAAAAATAGTTTAACAACCCCAGGTGCAATCGATTCTCCAAAGATACTCTTCCCCCTTTTTCTTTGGCCAGCCCCGAACTCCGCTGTAGATATTATTTATTTTTGAGAGTACCCTGACAGGATGGAACGTGAACTGTGAAGTCGTCTGACCCCACAGATCCTGGGAACGTTTGGCCTCAGGGATTGCCAGGGAGGAGGAAGTTGTAGGCCTGGCCTCCCAGTAATTCATGGTCCCTTAATGAGCCTGTGGAATGCTAGCTAGCTCATGGGGCTCAGAGAAACAAAGGATCCTGGTTTAGCTTCATTTGTCAAAGTGCTGCCACTCAGTTTGTTTGTCCCCAGCTGTCTGGGTAGAGAAACAGCCTTCACGGGAGGGAGAGGTCAGACATCTTATCCCAAAGGTCACTCTATGTGCCAGGGTAGACCTCCCGTCGCAGAAGGTGGAGGTGATCTGTTCCGTGCGGTGCCCTGATCAGCACCTGTCATCTGCAGCAGGCCCACGGTCTGTGTGCAAGAGTGGCCTGGCGTTTTGGAATAAGAGAAGGTCATTCTAAATTCCTTGTTGGTGCCTTTTCCCATCTATACCCAGGGATAATCCCCAAAGCATTAACGTTGAGCATATTTAGTTTGGTGGCTGAACATTAGGCGTTTTAGATGTCCTAGTCTGAGAAGTTTAGTATTGTAGAGTTACGTTCATCCTATTAATAATAATTCATGCAGGACTGTGCATTAAGTTCTGTGCATTATATTTAACTGAAAGGCTTTGACTTGTATACATACCCGTCAATAAAATATGTTTTCCTGAACAGCATCAATAAAATGAGAGGTCCGCTTCGATCTCACAGAACACTGCAGCATGGTCCAGGGCTTAAGTCTAGGATATTCTAGAATCTAGAGGATTAAAGAACCTTTTTAACTAATGGTCGCCCACAAAAGACAAAGTAACCTTTTCATAGCCAGAGGGTACCGAATCGAACTTCCTGAAAGGCTGTTTTGCTCTAGATGTGACTATTCTGTAGATTTACACGTCAGGGAACATACACAACTACATTTCAGTGGAATGAATATTACACATCTAAAAATTATGGGAGCAGTTTCCTTGAAGTATAAGGACAAGGGAGAAGTCAAACGTGCTAATGTCCATTACCAGAAGGAGAACTGTATACGGACAGCACAGAATCATAATTCTTCTTCCTCCTGCCCCTCCCAGGCTCTTCTGTTTCTGCTTTTGGACTCAGTCTTGCCCAGCAGACCCCTGGAGGCTTATTCTTACCCAGCTCCTCTTTCCTTTCCTGTGAATGGAAATGCTCACTTTATCTTCTTGGACTTTACCATGAGATGTTGGGTTGAGTGTTGCTGAGAAGAAGTGGCTGGGGTACATAGAGATCAATAAGAAGTATTGTCCGGGGCAGGAAGAAATCTATGTCATAGTCTAACATATTGTGGACAGATTTGTGAGCCCTCATTAAAGGTTTGGGAAATAGCCTTATCGAAAAATAATATTTTCTCACTTGTATTATTTTCCTTAGCACAGCACGATAATCGTTCTTCACTTCCTGGTGTCTGCGTGTGTACAAAAATGGATGTCCTTCCACAATCAGGAAATGTAGAGTTGGCATTTCTGCTTAAAAACAATCGAATAGCCTAAGACCTGCTATCCTTGCCAGCTCTAGAGGCAAATATTAGGTTGAAAAGGATCAACACGGTTTAAAAACAGAAAGTTCTCGTTTGATCGTCCCTCCTGGACACTCGTCAGCTAACACACGTTTTCCGTGATTTATCCATACTTTATGCATCAGAAACACTGCAGTAGCTTGAGTGCTGAACACTGACATTTCCTATTTTAAAAATTTAAAGGGAAAAGCCTTGGGTTATTATAGAAAAAAATAAGATTCTCTTCCTGGAAAAGGTCAGTGCAGGAACATCTCGTTTAATCAACTGAACAGGATATCCAAATTGTATGGTTACATTGTAATTTAATTTTTTTAAATGTGTTATTTAGTTTTGAGAGAGAGAGAGACAGAGACAGAGTGCGAGTGGGGAAGGGGCAGAGAGAGAGGGAGACGCAGAATCCGAAGCAGGCTCTGGGCTCGGAGCTGTCGGCACAGAGCCCGACGCGGGGCTCGAACTCACAAGCTGTTGCGATCATGACCTGAGTCAAAGTTGGACGCTT